ATGAAAATTCACAAACCTGCCAAAAAATGCCAGTTTCTTCACTTTTATTATTTTGACGAGAGCCTGATTCCACCACGCTGCCTCACATATTATACTTATCGGCCTATCCTTTTCCTCACAGAATGACTAGTGTTGGTTTCTAAGATCGCATGTTCCGAGAGGAAAGCAAACACAGATCTCAAATTCTTCTTGTTGTTTCATAAGAGTTAATCATATCAAATATTTATCATTTTTTACAACCCCTTTGAAACTTTACTTTCCAGCTCGAAGTTTAAGGTCATCAGCTGAGAAAAAAGAAATTGCTTTTTCTTACAATGAAACTTCAAACGATGGATGACGAAGCTTTTTCATTTTTGTGGTCTCAAGATCTGGAACACACTGCCAATATTGCGGTCAAAAATTCGTGGCACAACTTATCCTCAAATATCTCTTTAACGGTTGAATCAATGTCACCCATACTTTGCACAGCGGTTTATATCAATTTGTCTTAACTTAATCATATTTTCCCCAATAATTGAGGCTAGATTTAAAAAACGTTTTTTCTTAAATTTATATAAAATACTATAAATCTCCGTCTCGTGGAAAATGGGATTATTCACAGCTCTTCTCGCTTTGCAAACACATATTTCATGCCCTTATAGCCTACGTAGCAGCTGACGAATGACTTTTTAGTGGCAATTAATATTGTCACAAAAAAATTGATTTTATAGTGAGCACATTTTTTGCCCTAAAGGCAATGTTCATTCATAACGGTCTTTGCTAAAGGTTCTCAAAACATACGTTCAATAAAGATCGTGTCACGACTGGAAAAAAATGACGGACTTGCTTTTGGAAGCGATATTGCCCCAGCTATACCTTTTAAATCTGTAGAAACCACCCTCTTGGAGTTTTTATTAGTATTCAATAAGGAATGTTGTAGAATACAGCTGACAGGTGTTAACAAAAATATTGACCTGTTAAGACAAATTGATACAAGTCATTGTTCAAAAGCTGGAGAATATGGATTCGATAGTTTAGGAAATATCTGGCAATAAGTTGCGCCTCGAATTTTTTACCCCACTGTAGTAACTGATAATTTAAGACAGACTCAATCTCTTAGTTCATTCAAAAGTCAGCTCAAGTCATTTATATTTTTTTAAATTAAATGGCTGAGCCTATCTACATTTTTAGTAAGAATACAATTTATTTACTATTTATGTTTTGCTACTTCTGTAAAACTCTCAGAGCTTTGTATTCTTTGGTCGATGTTGAACGCCGTACAGGATGTCTCAAAAACAGAGATCCAATAACTCTGTCATCTTCAAACCAATTCCAACAAAAATTTGAAAATTATGTGTGTTAGTGTGTGTGTGGTGTGTGTGTGTGTGTGTGTGTGTGTGTGTGTGTTTGTGTGTGTGTGTGTGTGTGTCAGTGTGTCTGTGTGTTATGCGTAGGCGCGTTTGTGTATGTCTGTGTGTGTGCGTGCGTTTGTTCGTGCGTGCGTGCGTGCGTGCGTGCTTGCGTGTGTGTGTGAAAGATGTAAGAATAATTTTGGTCTTGAAATGTTGACAGCTTATGCCTTGTACTGACAATTTTCATCCTCTTTTTTCAGTATGTTAAGCGCCCGTTGGAAGGAAAAGTCGGAGCTGATTGGTCGCCTGGAGCAGCAAGTGACGCAGATGAAGAACACATGGACTCAGAAAGAGGCTCGAGTGGCCGCTGAGAGAGACGCTGCCTTAGACCAAGCCAAGTGAGTCACGGAGAAAGAAGAGAGCTATTTAGTTTTAGTAGAAGTTTTACGGCGTTCACAGCTGCATAAGGTCATAGGAGCGCCAGAAGATTAGAGCTGTTACAAGAGAGGAACAAATATAAAAAAGAAAAAGGGGAGATAAGGACGATAGATGTTTGACTGGAAAGAAGAAGCAAACCACATCAGAGCACCCGCCAATCAGCCACTAAGAGAGCTATAGTCAAACTCGGATACGGTCGCTTTTAAGCACAACAGGGCAGTCCCGAAAAATACTGTTTTGAGAAAATCGAAGTTAAAGTTTTTGCCCCTTGTTCGGTTTCTTTAAAAGACAAGGAGAGTTTTCTCTATAATCAAACAAATATACCCACCGGTGAAACCAAACTTCGCCCCAAGGTAGGGCAGTGCCCACTTTTGGTGTAGGAGGTCAAGATTTCTGGAAACTCCTGAAATCTGGGTCAGCCCGCTTGTCCTTAAAAGCGACCATATAACAGGACAGACGGGACCGGCAGCTTTTCCCTGTTATAAGCGAGTCCTGTTATAACCGTTATCAAGGGAAACTACCAGTACCATTGTTCAGCTTACTATAATATTTATATATATATATATATATATATATATATATATATATATATATGTGTCTTTCTATATATATATATATATATATATATATATATATATATATATATATATATTCGATTACCGCAGACCCTTTTCCAATGGGCTGTTTTGCTGACACTGAGACGGAATCGATCTGTGACCCCAACACTAGGGGGGGGGGGGTATGTGTTTGAAAGTTTGTGTTTAGGCAGGCGATCATATAAAAAGGCGAAATGTCTTAGTTCTGAAAAATTTTAATAATTTGACAAATCAGAAGCAAGTTCGTGCGCTGCAAGATCACTGTTATATCCGAGTCTGTGGAAATTGAACCCTGTTGTAACCAGGTTCATATTGCTTACACTGATAGAGAGAAACTAGCTCGGCCCCCTTTCGATGAAACGATAAAAGGAATGATCGGTGCATTAACATCAACTGAAAGTCATTGGCCTACTATATTACAATCTACTGGAATAGAGCAATAAATCTTGAGAGATGCAAAAAATAAGAATGTCTAGATCTAGATCTTTACTCTCAAAACAAAATGCGCCTCGCAAAATATCAATTCCGCACAGGATTTTCTAAAATTACTGAGACAGAAGCGTCGGCCTACAAAAGCGATCTGCGAAATAAAGAAATTTAGCTTTTTGCAGAAAAACTGTCTCAAAACTGAAAAAAAACGAAGGGCGTCATGACCTGGAGAATATTTTAAAGAATCTTTTGACGAACACCGCATGTCGATCGATGCAGCCATTAAAAAGTCCGGCCACCACGAATAGATTATATTAGCTGGGCCCCCTTTCGAAGAAAGGAATGATCAGTGCATTAACATCAACTGAAAGTCATGGGCCTATTATATTTACACTCTACTGGAATAGAGCAATAAATCTTGAGAGGTGCAAAAACTTAGAAGGTCTAGATCTATCTATACTTTCAAATCAAAATGCGCCTCGCGAAATATCACTTCCGCACCGGTTTTCTAAAACATAAGGAGACAGAAGTGTCGGCTTGCTAAAGCGATCGGCAAAATAAAGAAAATTAGCTTTTTACAGCAAAACTGTCTCAAAACTGAAAAAAACGAAGGGCGTCATGATCTGGAGAATATGTTAAAGAATCTTTTGGCGAAAACCGCATGTCGATCGATGCAGCCATTAAAAAGCCTTTTGAATAGCAAAATTCGGTCACCACAAATAGATAATAGAATAGATAGAAAAGAGGATATCACTGTTATATCCAAGTGTATGTAATAGCAGAGGCTGTTATAAATGGACTGGACTGTATAGTCCATGTAGAGTCTAACCTGCCAAAGCCGACCATCCATTGTTGAGAAGCAGAGGAGTCTTCATAGACCTGTATGGTCGTCTTGAGCAGTGTCATTAATATGTAGAGAATAAACTCCAGCGTGGGGGGGATGGAAAGTGTTCATTTATACAGATGATTGTCTAGGACAGATGGTCGTTAGCACAGGTTCAGTTGCACTTGTTGCATTGCGGACTTCACTCTGTCAAGCAGAGAACTTTCTTTTAAGTTTACTTTTAGAACAGCATAAAATATAGTGGCCTCAGAATATCCATAGAAACTATTTTGTAGAACAGAAATTGAGGCCCTGTAATTTTTATTTTTTATTTTTTTGCTTTGTTTTTTTTTTTGTTTTTTTTTGTCACAGTTTATTTGTAATTATTGTATTAATATGCAGCGATATGCTTGACGTTATATCCAGTTGTATTTGAATGTACTGCACCCTATACTTTTGTTACTGTTGGTCTTTAATACGGCTCGCAATCATATTCATTTAACTTTACAAGGTGATCCGTCTACACATTCTGTTCACACTGTGTGGAACTATTCAACCCCCCCCCCCCCCCCCGAGGCAGTGCCACTGACTGTAGTGTCTTTAGGCCATTCCCAAAGGGGGGACATTTCTCGTTCAAGCACAGTAGAATTGTAAATGGGCTGATTCATCAAGTCACACTCATAACTGTGCCTGATCTACAACAAGGAACTGCTGCTTTTTCTTTCCTAATCCTTACTACTGGCATTTTCCTCTACTTTTTTTGTATGTTTGTCACTCTCTTGTGACCTGCTATTTCCGGGGTGCCTTGATAGTCGAAGCAGACTTTGTGCTGTTGAAGCTTGAGAGGTGAGCAGAGTAAGTCTGATTCCCTGTAAAGACTTCTCTGTTGACACCCACCCCTTGGCGCTCATATGACCTTTTGCAGTTGCGAGCGCCGTAAAACCCTCTGCTATATTTTTTTTTTAATTTTAAAGAGCAATTCAACTGTTCTGCTGTTGGTGGTAGGTGTGTTGGATTTGCCTCAATTCCCATGAGAACGTGATGCCCCCTGTGCATTGATGAGCTTCAGTATGTCCTGACATACAGCAAGTAACCATACGGCTAACTTACTCGACTTATGGGCTGGCGGATCGTTTGTGACATACATGTATCATCAATCATCATAGTGAGGAATTGGGGGAGAAGGAATATTATGTGTACATTTTTCTGTCGTCTCCCTGCGAATTGAGGAATAAACTTTCGTTCTGGAAATGTCATATTACTTAAATTATTTCACCTAACCAATAAACCCATATGCAACAACACAAACCTCTCAGTATTACTTTATAGCGCCAGGGCTTTACGAAAAGCATCTTGCTCCTGGACTCAGAGCAATAACAACAAGTACCTAAGTACACGCTTTTAGAATGTGTCAAAAGTGTGTCAAGGTGCATCTTGGTGGCGTCAGAAAACATACCTTCACATCATTTTAAATATGAACCCTTTGAGAGACCCTCCACATGACCTGTGTGATTTATATATATATATTTTTTATTTTTTTTTTTTTTTTTAAATTTTTAATTTTTTTTTTTTTTTTTTTTTTTTTTTTTTTTTTTTAAATAAAATATATAATATACAATATATCCATTGTGCTCCATCACCTGCAGACAAGCCCTGGAGAAGCTCAAGTCTGTGGACAGTGCCTTCCGGCAGCAGCTGGACGTGAAAGAGGCGGCCTTCCAGGAGGCGCTGAGCCGGGCCCAGCTGGAGAAGCAACAGGAAGTGGAGCTGGCCAACAGGAAGGTATGTCTCTCGATAGGGCTGGACTTCAGGCTCTATCTATGGGAATCTAGGCCTCTGACACTCCCTAAATAATGTTATGTATTTGTGTGTTTTAAACAGTCAGGAAACGACAGATGCAGTATTTGGGACACCTGAATAGACATAAGGGTCTTGAACATCTAGCTCTCACAGGGGAAAATTGAAGGCCAACGAGGCAGGGGTAGGCTCAGAACAGTCTACTTGGGGAACCTAAACAAATGAGTAACAGGGAAAGATCAGGAATACTTGCTTTTTTTAGAGCATCCGAGCAAAGGAATGAATGGAGAACCCTGATCGCCGATGTCTGCCACAGATCTGGCACTGGATGATGATGATGATGATGATGATTTGTGTGTTTTAGTACATTGAATGTCAGATACTTCTGGTTCTTACCAACGTCTGTGGGGCAGATTCTTCTCCATTACATCCAGAAGACATTAATTTGATTCCCAAGTCAAGGAGAGTTTTACTTATTATCTATATCTCCATCCATCTGTTGGGACAATCTATTATCCCATTCAATCTGTTTTGGTCCTGAGAAGCCGAGTTAAAACAGTCAGCTTTCTAAATCATAAAAGTATGTCAATGGGAGCAAAACTGTTTTAAACATATTTGGTCTGAAGTCTTCTGGTTCCCTCAAGTAAACAAAAGCACTGTGGGTCCCTCCAGACTTTGGCCCAGCTCGTGTAAATGAATATAGCTTGCTTTGCTGATGCCCTCACCAAGGGTTGTTTGTGAGCTTTACTAATGAGCATGGGAACAAGATTCGAACCCCTGAGCAAATCCACACTCTGTATCCATTTTGTTGAGATACGTGCACTTAAAGAACCAGTAAGTGTATCCCTGGCACTGTGCTGAAAATTTGCTGCTTGTGTGCGCTGTGATATTTTGGCAGTGATATTTCTTGAAAATCCCATTCAAAGGTGGGTAATCAAGTATAACCAAAGTTAAGATGTTAAGACAGGGTTGTGGTTCTTAGCTCCATACTCCATGTTCACCACAACGTTGTGTTTCTTTTTACTGAGTTCGCTTTAACTTTAAATTTTTCTTGAAGGCACATTTCGTCTTGTTTGTACGAAGGAAGATATGCAAGTTATGTCTCAGCAATAAAGGGGTCGAGCCAACTTTATTTCACATGTATCCTTCGTTTGTGTCTGTGTCGCATCAGGTGACAATGGTGGAGGAGGAGATGCGTGACCTTCTACGTGAAAACGAGGCCAGCAAGCGAGCCATGGAGACCAAAGTGAAAAAACTGACACAAGCCCTGGGAGACCTACAGACGGACCTATTGTGATGGGACTCCAGTGCCATAATTCTAATATGAATGATAATAAATACTTGAGCACTTAATAACTTAATGTGACATTGTACAAATGTATCTCTTTGGGATGACAGAGGGGAGGGAATGTGAATGAAGTTAATGTTGGAATTAGCGACAGTGAAGTCAAGTAACCTAAGCTTCCAGTTTGAAGGCGCACGAGACTTTAAAGTTGCTCTTCAGTTCTAGATAAGGAGAAACCTGCGAAAGTGTATTATCTTTCTGTGTCTTACACAGACCCACTGGTTGCATTATCCGTGGGCAACCATAGGCAGTCTCAGTACAGATAGATTTGGGACTCTAACAAAATTTGCTCAAAAGTATTAATATAGAGAGGCTAATGCATCAGCCGCTGATGCAGCGGTTTGACTCTAGACTCTATATTGCAGTCCTGTGTTATGCAGCCTGATCTTTTGGGATGCAGTGAGGCCTTTGAGGTGTAATTACAGCATCTTAGATCTACTGTGTAATATCTCTCTGTAAGTTCTTGCATTTGGAACCTTACAACCCTTTGCAGTGCAGTCGACATGAAATTAGGTTGTTGATGGAACATAGTCAAAATTCTTAGATTACTACATGCTATTTATTGTTCTTTTTCAGAGTTTTCCATTTTTCAAAATGTTTGTTTAACCCTATCTGTACGCCCTGGGGTCATTTAGTACCCCCGGGGTTGTATTCTTCATATTTTAGAATACTTCTAGTTCGAAAATCTCTTTGAAACTTTCAGTATTTCTCAAAAAATCATTTTGACAGACTGCTATGCAAAGCGTATGCTCCGGATTAACGAGTAAATTTCCTCTTTGGAAAGTGGTGGCACAGAGTTCCCCAAACCGTATGGATACGATAGTAAAACAAGACGTACAGATAGGGATAAGGACATTTGTAAAGGCTAAATTTGTTTTAACAAGACAAAACAAACAGGTAATTTTTCAGTTTCACTCACTGAATGCAGTGATGACTGTACTTAAACTATCTTGCAAGTCTGTTCCTTCACTTTCAATATACTTGAAACCAGGCAACTATTACTAATCTCCGTCCATATCTGCAGATCACATCTTATGACCATACCCGAAAGTATTTCTTATTTGCAGCATTAAGACATTCATGTACATTATTGTAGCAGCAGTACTCATTCATTAAGGTTATTTTTTCTCTTTTTTTTTCCACATTAAGTAGGCCTATTAAGCCTGTATAAAGGAACCTGTTATAAATTTTGTTCAACAGTCCTATCCTTTTTTAATTTCTTCTACTACAGTACATGATGTTACACTCACATCCATTTTTCTTCTATCATTCCAATGGTTGATGTCATTTTTTTCAGGAGCTCCTGAAACTCTAAATACTGAATAATGTTGTGCTGAAAAAACATTTTTTAATGTCTGGGTGTCAGTGCATGGAGAGAAAATACTGTACATCAAGTACATGCATATGTGTGAATGTTTAATACACTGTAAAAATCCCCTATACCATTTCAGTAGCCTTTAGTATGTGTTTGCTACTACCTTTGGCAGGGTCATTATACGTCACCAAGAGTAACAGATAAACATTGCAGGAGTCTTGTTTCCTTTTATCATCATCATCAATGCATTTCACCCCTGGCAGGGCATAAGCCACATACAAGCTCCTTCCATTTATCTCTGTCCTGGGCCATCCTTCCAAGCTCATTCCAAGTGAGCTTCATCTCTCTAATGTCCCTTTCCACACATCTCCTCCATGTTTCCCGTTGCCTACCCCTGCCTCTTGCTCCTTATGGGTTCCACTGCAGTGACTGTCTTGTGATGTTTCTGCTGTTTCCTTTTATATTGATGTATTTTAGGTCATGTTTGCAGATGTGTGATTTTTTTGTAAGTTTGATGAAACAATCTACATGTACAGGGAAAATCACACATACATGAGGTTGTTTGTCTTGTGAGGCTGGCGGAGATAGATAAAAATGAAAGGGGGAGGAGTGAATAATGGTAACAATAAAAAAAAAAAAAAGAAGAATTTTGACATTAGATGTGCGAGTGCCTGTGGAATCATTGTTAGATTATGGAAAGGAGAAGGCATTAAGGCTAGTGGAGCATAGCAACATTCCTAATGATAAAGCTTATCCTAGCTTTTGTTTAAAAAGTTACAGTCCAAATTAATGTATGGGACCAACAGAGAACACATATTTTGTAATATAATGAATTGTCTTTTTTGTAGAATAAATTTTTTTTCGAATGTTTTGTTTGTATTATGATCTTGATTTTGTTTTATGTATATATATATATATACATTGTATGTATATATTATATATATATATATATATATATATATATATATATATATATATATATATATAAATATATATAATGTATATATTATATATATATATATATATATATATATATATATATATATATATATATATATGTAAATATATATATGTATGTATATATTATATATATATATATATAAGAGCTTAGTAGCCTACCCTACTGGACACAAATCCATCGTTTCAAAGATCTAACATTCGTTTGTTGCCTTACATGTTTCATCATCTGGAGTAGAACCCATATATCTGGCCAATGAAACGTATTCGAATGATGCAGCCTTTTCTGCACCCCTTGGGTTATGTTAACTTTGTTCTCCCAAGCACCTTTTATCAAGACATACTGAAAAGACGAATCGTTTCTAATTTGACCCACACTGGGTATCCTGTAGAAAAAAGAAAAGCTGTAACATCTTGGCAGATTGTTGTATGTCCTCATTACATAGTACAGTTTTCTCAAAATACTGAATCTATAAATATTTTGTACAGTCTAGTGCACACATAGCAAACTTGGACAGTGCAGAACAAACTCAAAACGGACAAATTTTCAGATCCCAAATTTTGTCATACGAATATACATGGTGTCATGACATGGTGGAATCAGGCGCTCGTCAATTTTTGGACAGGTGACGTTTTTGGTATCATCAAAAAGCTCTCTGAAACAAATACTCATCTATCGTGAATAGAGAAGTCGAGATATTTGCGATTGAAGGAGGTGGGGGTAGCCTGTTTTCAGAGGTAAAATAAACCAGAAAATGGCCACCAAAGTTTGGTAACTTCTACGGCTTCAGAGTCCTTGAAAACTGAAAATTTATGTATTTTGTGTCATTAATCTACGTATTTCAGTAAAATTCACATGGCAATGTGCTTTTATATGGACATAAAAATGTTGAGCCAAAAAACAAAATTTTGGAAAAAAATGTCAAACTGTCAAAAATATGTCCTTTTCTTTGATTTTATTGTTTTGACGAGTGCCTGATTTCACCACGATGCCTCATGTATATTCTTTATATTTAAATCACGTACATGGTAAAATTCGTACACAATGAGAAGATCTTTGTGTCCCACCAATTTCGCTATGTGCATGCAAGACTGTACATATTGTGCAACATGTCACTTTCCTTGAAACTCATGAGCCTAAAGCTCTGCGCAAGGACAGTGTCTTTTCTAATTACCTCTTTGACTTGAAACTCCAGACTGTTATTCTGCTTTTGTACGAGTTTCAAACCTTACTAGACACAAACAGTACAATTTGAAGGCTAAGAAGTTGAGGACATTCAGAAGAAAAAAAAAAGAAGGAAGAAAAGATGGCAGAGACGATAGGTAGACCAGTGTAAATGTCACGCAAATAAATCTGAGCCTCAAGGTACAAAACGAGAGATTTTTGTTTCTATTTTAAAGTGGACTGTTTTACACCCTCGACTCATCAAAACAATTTAGATTGTTTAGGGGGGGGGGCTTCAATTCGCAGAGAGGAATAGGCCCAACATCCCATCAAAAAACACTGAGAAATACTCAGTAAAAATTCTTCCCGCTCGGGAATCTAACTCAGGTCTCTGTGTGCGACAGTGAAGAACCAAACACTGCACATCATTTCTTACAGTAGGCTAATAATAATTTAAGGAGAAGTGTAAAATAAAAAGGGTGACAATCTACCTAAAAAAGTGGTTGTACCCCCCTGACGATACACGTATGCAGTAGGACTATTTTCTGCCTCTGCTCAAAGCGGTGGGAACTGTCTGCTGTTCTCAAAGCCAACCACATTATCAATCATTTCTTGCAATTGTTACCTGCAAATTTTACTCAACATCTTCGCAGTATTTCACAAGAAAAGCACATCATTTCAGTTCATGGTTAATATTCTAAACACAACTCACCATACACGCTTCTTTTCATTGAGAGTATACGAATGTAACCCACCCAGCCTCTAGGTTTGAGACCTATGTCGATATAATTTCTCTATATCAGTCAGAGCGTACGGGTGTACAACACCCAGTCACTTGGAATAAGACATGAAATACGTCACTGGGTAAAGGGTTAACTGGGAGTTACCGGAGATTTGTCCATAGAGAGTCGGCACAATAAAGACCATACTTTGCCGAGAACTGATCAGTATCATGGGGGGTTTTTGAGGTTTTTTGTAGGAGTTTTACGGCGCTCGCAACTGCATAAGGTCATATGAGCACGCAGTATCATGGGTGGTAATAAACATGACATTGATGTTGAAGGAACAGACTAGATACATCAAACAGCTTGCTATTGGCTTGTTTCACTAACAGTGAGTGAATTATCACCGTCAATCGGAATTAATGACCTAGACTAAGATAATATTTAAAACCTAGTCTTCTGCACAAGAGATATTATATCCATAAAGCCGTTTATTTCACAAACCAATAATATTTATTCGCTTCATATTCAGATAAAACCAATATTCAGCAATTTGTAAAATAAAACTTCTGAGGACAATATATCAATACATTTAGTCGTGTATAAGTATGATCTTCCCTTTGGAAAAAAAAAAATATGGGCATAAAGCATTAAAATAATTAAAGGCAGAACAGTTATAGTGTTATGGCCAGTGGTAAAACAAGCAAAGTCACAGACAATCTTCATCTACTTAGACTGTAGTTTACAGTTGGTAGGCACAATCATGAACACATTTCACACAGAACTGCTTCCAGCAATTACACTCAGAACAGAGAATAAGTTAAAGAAGAGCAGCAAACACACTTCACAAACAATAGTTACTAAATAATCAAAAATCCCTGTTAAGTAATAATTGATTGCACAAGCATTCTGTCGAGCACTAAAACTGTCATAAGTCTACCATGTTCAGTATACCAGCAGACTTAAGGGCAAAAGTGAGAATTATGACGGGAATTGAAAAAAAAAAAGGAACAAAAACGGAGAAATGTCAAAAACTGTAAACGCAATCCAAAAATGTCAGTACATGTGTATCTTCAAAGACTTTGGCAAGATTTTTAAAATCTGTACAAAGATTTTTAAATTAAATCTCCATGCAGACATCGGTCATACTTTGCTTTGGTCTATTTGAACGGTCTTAATAAAATAGTACTTCTAAATCATATTCTCCTATAAAAAGGAGAAGAGAAAAGGAAAAACATATCTATATATATATATATATATATGCACAGAAAAATTGTTGACTAAACAGTCAAGACCCAATCACAAAGGTTCAAAACAACAAGTGTCATATCATAACCCCATCGTCTTTCAAAGCAGCACAAGGCATGACAGTGGACTCAAAAAGAAAGCGAAAGGTGTGGAATGATAAAGACCAGCCAATACTGTTGAAAGACACGGCAAAATAAAAAATGTGTTGATGAGCAACGATACAAACAAAAGATATTGAACATGTGGCAAGTACTAAACTACTAAAACCGAGCTAAAGTCGAAAATTGATTTAAAATCACAGCCTAAATCAAGCACAAACAAAATACAGTGGGTGTCGCATTCAACGAGGTTGCCGGACCAACTTGTTGTCCTCGTTGAATCCGACCTCTCGTTGAACGTGACTAAGGCTAAAGTAAAGAAAGGAGGCACGTCATTATTGTATATGATGTACCAATACATTGTACCAGTAATTAAAATAGTTGTTCGCCCTGATGACGAAAATTTCAAACAGCATCAGTGTGCGCGTGTTTCAGCTGTGTTCTGGCAGTCATTTCTGCATTTAAAAATTTTTTTTTTTTTCGGAACACTTCTCATGTGGAAACATACCCTCTCACATCTAGGCCTAGACCTACATAAAGTAAAGGCGGGAGCTTGGATTTTCTGATCAGGGGAAGAAAAAAAAATTGAAAAAAAAATGAAGATCTCGATCTAAACCTACCTATCCAGAGTTCATCCAGTTTCACACAGCCTGCATCGCGTTCCCACCCACCCCCTCCCATCCCTACCATAGATTAACCATCATCCATCCTCTTGTCTTTAGGGCCCATATTAGGAGGCACACTGGATCTAGCAATACAATGTGTTAGGAATCGATGATGGGCCTTGTGCTTTGCTTGAGAGGGAGAGAAAGGAGAAAAATTTCGCTTTTGGGGCCGCTAATTACTTTTATTTGGTTATCGTGATCACGTTGAAAGCGACTTCGGTCTGCTTGCAACCTCGTTGAAGCCGACTTACATTTATAAAGAGATATAGGGGAATACAATCGGGGATTAAGGATTGCCTCGTTGGAGCCGACTTCTCGTTGAATGTGACCTCGTTAAAAACAGCACCCACTGTATCCGAATGGTCAAACTGAAAGTTGGACAAATGAGTAAAGCTACCTGCTCAAAACAGTTCACCAGATACAATAAAAGCATTGTAAATATATAACTTCTTGTCAACTTTAAGCTTGACAAACAAAAACAGTGATGGTGGAAATAGTGCATGTTATTATAATGATGTTGACAACGACGTGAAAATAGTGAGCATAATAATTATAACGTAATAAGGAGAAAAACAAAAACTATAATGATGATAAAAAAAATATATAATTTCTTAAAGTAATAATAAGCAAAAGTATAAAGTAATTATCATCGTCATCGCTGCCACTGTCAGCAACAATAGTTGTAATGACAATAACGGTAATGATAGTGAGAGTATAGTAATAATAATAGTGCTACTACTAGTACAGTAATAACAACATATTAATACTTTTGATAATCATAATGACAATAATAAAAATAATATTATAATAATGATAAAAATAATAATAACGACAACAAATAATAATACTTTTATAACAAAAGCAAGACAAGATCTCAAATCTGTGAAGAGTACATGTCCTCGCTGTAGAACTTGACAATGTCATCCTCAAACATGAGTTGACGTTTATAGCTAGGGTCAACAGCCAGAGACTCAATCTTACTACGTCTTTTCTCATCAAAGCCCAGAGATGACGATAGTGCTATAAATGCAAGCGCTCCTAAAGTCCACGGGCGGTGCAGCAAAGGGATCAGGAAGCTGAGGATTTCTTTACTTATCGTCTCCGGAGTGGATAAGAACTTAGCCTCCTGCCGCCGATTCAAGCATTTGGCAAATTCAAGATCTTCCGGAAGGAGGAATTTGATGTGAATGAAATATTTGGTGAGAACGAGCTTCCCTCGCAGCAAGGAGACCATAAAGGGGGACAACTTGAGGCCTGAGTCTACATAGTAGTTTGAGTCCAGCCGCTTGGCGTCGACACACACGGGCATGCCTCCATGGGCGACCAGCTCTCTCACCACCTGTAGGGTCCCGGAGACCACAGCCTCATGAAGTTCTAGATCGATGGTTGCCCCAGACTCTAGCAACAACCGCACCAGATCCCCATCACGTTGCTTGGTAGACCAAAACAGCGCAGTTTCTCCGTCATTGTTCATGATGAGCGACGATCCATAAGACAGAAGCAGCCTTGAGATACCAGTGTTTCCTTTTTTCACCGTAATCCACAGTGGGTTTTCTCCGCGCGCATCAATAAAGTTCACATCTGCACCGCAGTCTAAAAGGAGCTCCGTCATCTGCAGCTGTAAGCCAGAGCATGAGTAGAAGAGTGGCGTCCATCCAGTCTTGTCATGAGCAACATTCACATGGGCTCCATCCTCTGTGAGGACACGTAAAACATCTAACTGGTCTGACTTTGTAGCCACCATGAGAGCTGTGTCTCCATCCACATTCACATGATCTCGTTCAGCCTTGTTCTGTAACAACAGCTTCACCATTTCAGCTTGTCCAGATTTGGTGGCCAGGATCAGCGGCGTGTTCTGGTCATGGCTCTTCACATTGACGTCAGCGCCATAACGCAGCAAATGCTTCACAACTTGCATCTGCCCCTCCTGAGCAGCCCAGGTTAGGGCTGTGTACCGCAGACTGTCTTTCTGCTCCAGCAGCGCGCCCGACCCCATCAAACAACGAACAAGGTCAAGGCTGCCAGCTCGGGCGGCAAACATGAGTGCTGAGATACCAAAACGTCCTTCTTTGTCAGAAAAAGAATGGCTGGAGTAGTTCACGTTGGCACCACGACTCAATAAGATCCGAACAATCTGAAAAGAACAAATTTCAGTTTTTGCTTAACTTGAGAAACAATCCCACCACTCAGATCAGTACAATCTTAGGAAAAGTAAGAAACTGCACCAGTATAATTAGTATTTTTATAACGACCGTAAGTATAGATCATTTACCTCTATGAAATAATGTAAGATTCCTATTTCTTTTCTTCTTTTTTTTAAAACCCAATTCCTAAAACTGTGAAAAGCAAAATTAACTTGAGTGTAATTTTCAATCATCAAAATTTGCATTTAATACATAGTTACTATCCAACATTAACAAATGGATTCCTGGTAAGCTAATTAACATTGAGCTCTAAAAAAGGTCCAAATGCCACAAGTATTGATAGCAGTCTGTACCCTTTTAAATGCTATTCATTTTCAATAAGAAAAATTCCTAAATTAGCCCTAAGTAATAAATTATCACAGGATTTTGAAAAGTTTCTCCACAAGTTTTTTTCCTTCTAGAAGTAGGTAAAAAACGAACCAAAAAAAGAAGCATTATTATAAAGTACAGAACAGATCCAACCAATGGAGCTATATATAGATCTACTGAGATTAACACATCAAAGCATGCAATCAGAAACACCTAACATTAGAAAACAAATATTTGACAAAAGGAAAAGGTATCCCCAAACATAATATTATATCTAGCAGAAAACAGACTTTACCTGCTTTTTTTTCTAATCTATAAATAAAAGAGTGTCATTGGGTGACAATTTATTCCGCCAATCGGAAGCATAGCCTTGTAATCCGAGACATATAAACTTTTGATAACTTTTTTAATTCTAGAATTATTATCTCTCAGTTCAGTGACCCACCAGGGGTCTAAGTGATCCTGTTTTGGAATAAGTGTTTTCATGTCTAAATCCAAAAAAATTTGTATAACAATTCTACTGAAAAAGAGTCTGGAATCAGTCTGTCATAATATACACTCATGGTAAAATCTCAGCAGAACTCTACTGGAATAGGAAGACAGACCAAGGAAATAATGAATTTATCAAAGTAGCATACCGGTTTCTCAAATTACAGTCGAACTTTCTCTAATCTAACAGCTAACTGTCCAAAACAATTACCAGTATAGACATCCACTTCCCACACACACTTACCCCCTTGTGGTTTTTCTATATTACAATGACACCATCCAAAACATCCACCTGCCCAAGACAACCAATTTTCGATTTAAACAATAGGTACCTGTTTTGGACAATTTCGACTGTCTGTAAGATAAACACCAAAGAGCACTTACTTTCTCAAAGCCACCAATAGCCGCTAACTGCAGAGGTGTGAGATCCAAATCATCTGGGATGTCCACTTCAGCTCCAGCATCAAGAAGACATCGCACCACTTCCGTGTGCCCAGACATGGCAGCAACGTTTAGTGGAGTCGTGCCGTCAGTACACCGCTGTAAATTCACACCTGCACCAGCACTGATCAACAATTTCACTGCTCTCACACAACCCTTAGAACTGGCTCTCAATAATGCTGTGTCGCCACGAGCATCAAATCCATTCACACTGGCTCCAAAGCTCAACAAACATTCAATGCACTTTGTGGCATCTTCCGCAGCTGCAAGGCACAACAGATCAGAGAGTTGAGACTCAAACCGTTGACGACTGCCAGACTGAAAGCGTTGCAGAGCATTCCTCAAAGCTTCAGCATTGTCTTCTGAAATCAGAGTGTGCAGCATCTGGCTAATATAGGGCAAGTCCTGTTGACTCTTGCCACTCATTGTGATTTTTGTTGCAGTACTAGTGCCTCTCCAAAAGAACATTACTCATATTCCTTCATGCTGTTGCCTGCCGACATAGAAAAACATAATGATTTATAAAACTTGTGATTACAATAAAAACTGGAGAGAATCAAGACAATATAGATCTATGTATATTGATTTAAAAAATTAAAATGTCATTCTTTTATCAGGAATCAATTCACATCTTGAAAGAGTGAAAATGATAGTGCGTCACAAGATACATATTATTATTATACTCAACAAACTTTAACCCTCTTAGTAGTCTTAGAAGTCTATCGTTTTGTAAATTCTTTTACGTTTGTGAAGAGAAATGGGACCTGCACCTGAGGTGTAACAGTTAGATAACTCATTATTGCATGCAGAAGACAGAAGTTCGATTCTCAAACTGGGGCGACTATTATTGAATATTTGCATCTTTCTGCCGGGACTTCTGTCCTAATCTGGGCAGGCCCTGGCAGGCACAGTCAAAGTAGCCCGCCTCCTAAATAATCTAAATTGTGTTAATGGGGACACAAGACATCCGCAATTACAATTAGATCTACAAACAAAACGAGAATGGGTTTAATCACAGGTATTTATAAATCTTTAAAAAACCTAATGTCAGATGTGACCGTGACCCATCTCCACCTATCAAGAACAACATTTTAGGGAATCATTCAGTGAAGAAATAAAAGGGAATCATTACTTTATGACAGCGGTATGAGTCATAATGAGTAATCTTTACGGCCAGTTTGGGATAGAATTCTGTTTTTAAAAATGTCAAAAACGAGGAATACGTGTCAATCACTTATCTAGGCCTATCGGTGGGGACAGGAAAGCTGATAGATCTATTATAATCTATATCTGAAGTAAAATAAAACGAATTGACTATTTCTCTGAACGTTCAGGAAGAAAAAGTTAAACCCTATTTCTCCGATTGGTTTCTGATCTCGAGATTTTTTGGGTTATTTGCGAGATTTAGGCGTCATCCTCTCATTCTGCCATTCTGCGAGGACGGGAAGAAGCATTTTTTTGCATCAAATTCAATTTCTAGAGCTAGAGTTATGCCTGAATATTCAGATACACTTCAGTTGTGGTTGGGGCAACGTTCCCGGACTATATTCCATTTGAAAATACCTTCAAAAGGTACGGGAAGAAAACAAGACTGCTGGACCTTGGCAGTAACCTATTTAGCATTTAGTCACCCAGCAAAAACTAAAAGCATGTAAAAAAAAAAACTCCACGCCGCCCCCCCCCCCCCTCCCTTCACATCTTACACACACACACACACACACACACACACACACACACACACACACACACTCTCACACACACACACACACACACACACACACACACACACAGGCCACTCCATTCGCTTATTATCAACAAATCTCGAGAACGGAAACTGTTTGGAGAAATAGAGTTTAAATTTATTTTCCAGAACATTTGGAGAAGTAGAGCAGTAGGAGATGTTTGTGTTTAAGTTGTGAGCCAATGTTCAGGCCTCAATCATTCTTAGAGATTTAGGCAATAGACTTGACTTAAATTTAGCGGCACTTTGAGTTTGGGCCGCACTTTTTTAAGTTAAGAGATGGACCAGGGGAAGGGATGGGTCTAGAACCTAGGGGTTCGAACAATAGGAAAAAATCACTACTAAGGGCTGCAAACAAAAGCATAACAGAGTACAGAAAACGAGAACATAACTGCTAACAAAGCTGTCAACAATAATTGGGCACAACGCAGTTATAACGAATCTAGAGATCGTGTTGATCAATCTCCTCTGCTCGGGAATGCAAACGCTAGAGGCCTAGATCTAGAATCTAGAAAATCTAGATCTAGATATCTAGCAGACGACTCCGCTCTGCAATCACAGCACTTGACGCACGGAGATTTTTTTCTCCCGCAGATTTTATCTAACTGCCTTACGTGATATTCACACAGGAGACAGAAGTCAAATGCAGGTAAGCACGCTGGATTCCTTTACCAATCAACACAATACACCGAGAGAAGAAGACCAGTCATCGCACACAAATAATAATTTATAATGTTAATAATAATGAGGCCATCGTGTTTACATTATCTCTATGGAAGGGACACCACTCGCAAATTTTTCAATTTAAAAATCCTGGATGCTTGAAAGTCTTATGTCCCCTTTTTATTAAAGCTTTGGTCAAAAAGAAGGTGATGGGGTGCGTAGGCCTAAGACATACCGATCTTAATGGTTAATTTAGTCAGACCCGGAGGGAAGAAAATATTAAATGGAAGATGAAAACCAACATTTCAGTTCAGCGATCATTTGTGATATAGGCTTAACCCTAGAACAAATAATGTAACCAGATCCAACATGGCATTGCAAGAAAACTTAGCACACATTCCCGAGGAAAATAGATAGGCTAAGTTTACTAAACATTTTTCCAAACAGTTAGTCAGCCTGTCCTGCTAGATCTAGATCTATACTTCTGGGGCTAAATGTAAAGAATGATCCTTGCTGCAAACTGAAGACTATCTTAACAGTATAGTCTAATAACTCGGAGCACACATGCGTTCGGCAAAGCCATAGGCCTACGGTATATAGCGGCTTGAAAGTGGAGGGATACAACCTTGTTGTTGGGGAATAGACCTCATGTAAAACCCAGCAATAGCAGTTAATGTAATAAATTATAATAAAGGGTAGCATTTGCAAAGCGCAAATTGCTGCTCAACAAAGAGCTCAACGCCCTTTACGATCAATATTATAACCTCAGCAGACCTGATAGCATTCTGAAACGATCTCAGCTTCCTGGGAAGCATAGAATGCAAGATGCCTTTTTACAGGCGCCAAAACAATAACATACTGACGAAACGTTTCACTGCATATTATGAACGAATACCTGTTCACATCTGGGTGAAGTGGGGAATATCCATGTAAAGTACCTTTTCCAAGGACATAGCGCTGGGATTGGGGCTCGAACCCCCGAACCCACTACATCACGATTACGAGTCTGGTAGCCAAACAACTAGACTGCCGACACCACTACACGTTAAATAACCTGCAATCAGTCATCCGAAAAAGAAGAAGAAGAAGAAGAAGAAGAAGAAGAAGAAGAAGAAGAAGAAGAAGAAGAAGGAGGAGGAGGAGGAGGAGGAGGAGGAGGAGGAGGAGGAGGAGGAGGAGGAGGAGGAGGAGGAGGAGGAGGGGAGGGGGAGGAGGAGGAGGAGGAGAAAAGGCGAGGAGAAGGAGAGAATCAATAACAATACCACCACCACCACCACCACCACCACCACCAACAACAACAACAACAACAACAACAACAACAGCAACAACAACAACAGCAACAACAACAACAACAACAACAACAACAACAACAACTTTACTGTAGGCGTACGGAGAAGTTGATAGGTCTACTTGTCACGACACTGCGCTGAAAGGAAACGCTCTCTAGGAATGGGAGAAACGGGAAAACATGTTTGACCAACTCGGATATGAACCCTAAACCTCTGCTGCGTGTTTGCCAAGTTCGAATTTCCGTTGTACTAACAACATTGATTCCTTTTTAAAAAATACTCATTATGTATTGGATAGTCATAAATATATAATCTATCTACTCTACTACTACCTATCTATCTTACTTATTTATGGTAAGCAAGGCTGGAACAAAGGGATCGTTCACACTTGATCACTTGATCCTCCTACTGCGGTTGCACTCGCACGCGACCATCTGGCGAGCAAGAGAGAAAGTTCTTTTTATTTTTTGCTTCGTTTTGTTTGTTGTTGCTGCGGTTTTTGTTGCTGTTGTTGTTTAAGTAAGAGTTTTAAGGCTCTTGTAACCGAATAAGGTTATAATATAAGTGCTGGGGATTAAAAGTGTTACACGAGAGTGACAAACACAAAGAAGGAGGGGAGTTCAGAGCGATAGATATTAATTGATAGAAAAGAAGGAGCAAACCACACCAGAGCACCCATCAATCACCCACACAAGAGGGAAGACAGCTACAACACACTACACAATGGAGATAGGTCCTACTGGAAATGGAAAGGAAAGGAACACCGCCAGAGCAGGGGACACCCAACAAATTCCGCGACCCTGGCTGACGAATCAGCCTTCAGTTACTGATGCAGACCATCAATATGAATAAATATATGTACCTTAAGCCATAGTTAAGATGGAGCCTGTTGAGGAGGGTCCAAGAATTATGGATAGAATCCGTCTCTGAAGACTGTAGATCTAATTCTGGAATCAAGTCGGCCTAATCAGGCATTAGCCCCATGCGCCATCTTCAAAAGACATAAAGCGTGGACCCATAAAATACAAACACATGTATATGTATTCATTATAATTTATTAACAGAATATGGTACAAACACTATCATATTGTCATCACCAAGCAGTGCCAACTAGCTTACGACAAATTATGACAGATTATAGATTTCTAACCCACGATTCATATTTTTTCCCACTTCTTTAAAATGACGCGGCCATTCTTGTGTTGGTGTCCTGATGACGTTGACCGCACGTTTCCGTTTCCGCCTTACTCAACTCTAGATTCTAGACCTAATCCTAAATGACTGAATGCAAGGATTGAGAAAGCATATTCATAATTTATCTTTGTGTTTTGTGCGCAAAGTTTTTCAATCTAGGTTCTGTTGAAAGGCAGGCCTACCTTGTTGGTTGACTCTTGCTTGATCGGGAGAACTAGGGTGTGTGATACACAGAGAACTTCGAGTTGGGTGGTAGGCCTATATTGTAATTCCTCATTAGATCTAGGCCTACACTGCTGTGCCAAGGCAGGGCGACGTATCTGCACTTTTTTATGATTCTGATTTACGTCACACTGCCATTGGAAATATTGGCATGGCCTTTCAGTTACGTTTGTTTGCCATAGTGAAATATCCTATTTGTAGCGCAGATACGTCTTCTTGCCTTTGACACAAGATGCAGAAAGGGTATAGGCGTCCATTTAAACGAAGATACAAAAATTAATGATTTTTGCAGATACGTCGGTCTGCCTCGGCACGGCAGTACATTAAAACATCTAGAACTAGATCTAGATCTAGATTATCATATACCTATGTCTTGTCAAGCCAATTGAAGTGTTTCATTCTTGTTTGCCATGACGGGCTTACGTAAACATAGACCATTTTAGTTTGAAAACATATTGAATATGAGCAAAGATCCTAATAAAGAGACCGAAAAATAATTTTGGACGACAATAAAGAAATTAAAATGGGAGAAATTCGTAAAAACCCTCGTACCTCTTAATGATGAATAAAATAAACACTGGTTCAGTCTTTTTTATGTGATCGGGGCACTTTTTTATTTACAGTCGTTAACATGTTAACAAATTTTCTTCAAATCAACAATTTTTTAAAGTTCTTTCATGGGGGGAGCGAAAAGGTGTGTGTGTGGGGGGGGGGGGGGGGGCAAGATCCTCTATACCCTTTTACCAACACTCTATAAAGCTGTCCTTTACACATTTGAGTGCTTCGGGTGTGGTCTTTTATTGCTCCCTAGTTAGTGCTTCCTTCACTTCAAATCATCAATTTCCGTGTATGAGGAAGGTTTTTAGGACGGTGGCAAGGACTACTGTATAGTAGTAGACCTTGGACGGTGAGCAATTTTTGGGGCGCTCTGTGTGTGTGCATGAGCGTGTTTGTGTCTCTGTGTTTTTTGTATGTATTGTGTGTGTGTGTTTGTGTATATGTGTGTGTGTGTGTGTGTGTGTGTGTGTGTGTGTGTGTGTGTGTGTGTGTGTGTGTGTGTGTGTGTGTTTACCTGTTTGTGTTTGTGTATGTATGTATGTATGTATGTGAGAGACAGAGAAAGAAAGAAAGAAAGAGACAGACAGACAGACAGACAGACAGACAGACAGACAGACAGACAGACAGACAGACAGACAGACAGACAGACAAACAGAGAGCGTGTGTGTTAGTTATAATAATATTATTTGAGTAATACAAGAGCGAAGAAACAACTATCGGAGCTGGCTGAATATGGTTTATATCTTGATAGATGCCTCCGTTGATCATAAGCCTTCGTTGTTGTTGTTGTTACTGTTGCTGTTGTTGTTGTTGATGGTGGTGGTGGTGTTCTTGTTGTTGTAGTTGTTTTTGTTGTTGCTGTTGTTGCTGCTGCTGCTGCTGCTGCTGTTGCTACTGCTGTTGTTGGTGGTGGTGGTGGTCTTTTTATTGTTCTTATTGTTTTGTTGTGGCTTTTTTTTTTTGGTTCTTTTTGTTGTTCTTGATTGTCGTTGTTGTTATCATGTTGTTATTATATACAACCCCCCCCCCCCCCCCCCTGACAACTAAGCACTCAGAAGACCATTTTGAAGACGAAACGCTTTGTCTCCGAGAGGACGTAGGATTGAAAGGAAAGATATTTCTGAGCAGACAGAATAATAAAGTTAAAGTGCACCGGGATTCGTACCCGAAACTTTGGTAAATTGGCCAGGCTCGTGACCAATATCATTGCAAGGGTCGGTAACTCTGCTATTTGCAATTTTTGGGGGTTTCTTTCATTTTTGTTACGGCAAAAGAATGATGTCTCTTAGACATTTAGCATCCAATATTTCTTACGTCAAACAAATAGTTTATTGTAGTAATAATAATAATAATAATAAATTACACTTTTATTTGTCCCAGGAGGGCACTTTGGTTTACAATGGCGAACATTCACATATGTACATAAATACATAATTATAAATACGTACATACATAAATACACGCATAAATACTTACATAAATACACAATATTACACAAATACAGAACAGTTTATAACCATGCCACTGTCGGTCGCCATTGTGCAACGCCCTGTGCTTTGAGCTAGGGTTGTCGTGTCTTGCTCAAGGACACACCCCAGTGACCACCCATCTGATCCCCGAGTCACCGACCCTTTCCGCTTTTCCTTTTCAGATTACCCTGAGGGAGTTTACACAGTCTGGTCGGTCGGGTGTCCAGCAGCCTCATACAACGTGACGTCTGCTGGAAGTATCATGTGCGAGTTTGCGACAGGTGGATCAGTATCTCGTCTCTTTTGGTGGCTTTTCGACCACCCGAGCAGGCTACTATGGTTACCATAATGCAAGCACAGACACTGACTGTGTCATTGTGTTTACTGTTATGGCCTCTCCCTTATCTAGTGAAGGGCGACCTGACTCATTCCAAGCCTGCGTGTTGAGAGTGTAGCTGTTTCCAAAAGATGTTCTTCGCTTTTCGTGCGTGCTTGTGCAATAGCGAGGACTAAACGCGTTTTAATTAGTGGAGTGCTAACTCCTGGCAGCAATACTTTGTACCCTGCAGTTTATATCAGAAGGAAATTATGAGGACGAGTCGCTGCTAAAGGTTTTGCTTGATGTTTTCTTCATGAGCAAGAAAAGAAAATGAACAATCTTTGAAAATAGATATTCTATGTAAACAACGACCGGACACTTCGATCCGACACATTCACCTTGCACTGGACCTGTTTTGATTACGGCACAATGATACACTCCATCATGTTTGCACTTCGATCGTCAGCTCACTGACAACGTGCGACATAATCGATAGTTACAATGAATATTTTTATATTATGTGTAGAGTTGGTGCTGATATTTGTAGCCTTGTTCGGAAACCTGCTAGTAATTATCGCAGTGGCGACAGAATACCGACTGCGGAGAGTGAAGAACAACGTCTTTATCGTGTCCCTGTCTGTGTCCAGTTTCTTCATGGCCCTTCTCATCATGCCAGCCGCCGTGTACAGCGAGCTCCACACCAGCTGGACGCTGGGGAAGTTCGGTTGTCGTCTACGGCTGTCTCTGGAAATCATGTTCTGCACGGCCGCCGCTTGGAGCATCGCCCTCGTCTGTCACGACCGTTACAAGCACGTGAGCGACCCGGTACACCGGCAGTGGTTCATGACTCCTTGCATCACGCTGCTTCATGTGGCTGGGATATGGCTCTTGGCAGCCGCGCTCTCTTTACCCAACTTGTTCTTGAACTGGAACACTATAATCTATACCCATTACGTCGATGATAGCTTGACGGGAGAGCACGAGGGCCATCAACACTATGATAATAATTACCTGCCCGTGACTGGAATGAACGATACTATGGAAGACAAATACTTGTTAAGAAAGATAAAGGTTTGTGTCTTACACACAAGCATTGGCTTCGGCAGCGCTATGACCTGTGTTGCTTTTTTGCTTCCTCTCGTGCCGATGCTCGTCAGTTTTTTACGTTTGTATGCGCTAACACAACGCTTCCAAAATTTACCTGAATTACCGGCGACGCCAAATAAAAGGGGAAGTACAGGTTCTTCCGGCCGTGTCGGAGTTTCGCGAGCCTTCCTAGGCGTGGCACCCCTTGGCTTGTTCATTCTGTACTTTCTTGTGTGCTGGCTTCCCTTCTTCATCACCTTCTTCAGGTCTATCTTCAGGCCAGAACTGGTGGGCACGTTCACCTTCAAGTTCACGGTCTGGGTGGGCTACTCTAACAGCTGTGTGAACCCGATACTTCTCGGGGTGTCCACACCGTCGTACCATGAAGCTTTCAAGAGGATCCTGACGCTGCGAACTTGCCAGAAAGGTGGTGAGTTCTACACGGACCCACGTTTCTCTAGTGTCGTAGCAGCCAAGGGGGGAGAGGAGATGTCGCAGGAGGAGGAGGAGGATGCGTTGGAAATCGCCGGAGACCAGTCACCACCAACCATTTGTGTGATGGCCTCTGACTCGTTAGGCACCCAGCGCGAATCGCAAAGTAGTCGTAAAAGTAAAAAGGTCAAGATACGTTCAGGATACGCTGAGGAGGTGATGTTATATATTATGTAAATTATGGATGGCAACATGACATGGAACACAGTATAGTTGGAATGACGCAGATTACGTGACGAGAAACGATGTCAGTGATTGGACGCAAGGGGAAACGTAACGCAGATGTAGTGGCATAACACAGGTGTGTTCAAGAGGAAATTTCGAGACGCAGAGATAGTGACATCGCACAGGCATAGAGCTGACGTATGACCCAGGTGTACGCCAGTGACAAGGAGGGAATCGCGTGACACACTACTATAAGAAACAACGTGCCCTGGAAGAAGAGATGGGAGCCGGCGAAAAAATTTTGTTATTTCAATTACAACGTTCTACCTGCTCACTACCTAGTTTTGAGAAATTTGGCATTAAAAAGTGTTGAGTTTCACAACATGTGTCAAGCTTTTTCGAATGCGATTCTTTGAATATGTTGATAACAGCTTCGAAAAATCTTACGATTTTGTTACAGCAGATAGAACGTTTGGTTTCTGACCTCATGGTCTTCGTCACTCAAAACAGCCAAAATTAATGTCAGATAGAACTTTTGTAAAAATAGGATGGCGACTTTTTGATGAAAAAACAAAAAACTCTCCGCTGTGTGAAAGGGTACCAGTGGACGGTAGCTTCTTCACCCAACACTTCGCGTAACTGGTTCTCACGTTTCTGACCTACACGTATTTTGCTAGAAAAACGTAAAGTAGCCATAATCGTAAGACATCAGTTATTGCGGTGCAGTGCAAAACTTGGCGCACATTACTCGTGAACATTTGCGTCACTAAAAGATATTGGCACGGCAGTAGTGGTACCTGAACACAACACGGGCCGTCCACTTAAACCAGTGAAGCGACTTTTACAGATAACTCTTTTTTTTTTTATATAATTCCTCAAGTTGATCCACATTTTGACATTAAACATGTTCTTATTTGTCTTAACGGCATTAAAATATAATTTGATCTGGTCACTAATAAGCAGTAACGTTTTCTTTTTGTTCTTTTATTTTTTGGCAAATTATTAAATTTGAAATGGTTGTTGATTTATTTTAGCGCAATCTTTCTCCAAGGTAGGCAATGAGCTAAACTTTAAATATGAAGAAATCAAAAACTTCTCTGCTGAATTATATTATTTGGTTTGAGTTTTTGCTGTGACCTTGGGTGAAAAGTGCCCTTAGATATGACACTGCTACTTCGTAAAGAAAAGGTGTAACCTGGAAAAGACAAATGGGGATTTCTTTAGTTTTTTCAATGCTGTCTAAAAGTCCAACTCAAAGTGAACCAAAGTTTATTCCTAAATAACGTTCTATTTTCAAGACAGCCTATAGTTGTAAGTTGAGCCTATGATTGACACAGAAATATTAGAAAGAAAATCACCCTTGTCAACGTCAGGCGTAGGACGACATTAAGGGGGGGGGGGGGGG